TCTAGAAGCCTGTATACCCCAGAGGTTCCAAGCCACGGGTTCAGGAACCAATCAATGGGGGCTTGTCGGATTGGCTGCCATCCTCGACGTGGCTAAATTCTCACCAACACATCCTCACGAGTTATAAATATTTAGACAGGATGGAGGAGGCCAGAAAAAGCACATATGCATGCAATCTCAGGCCCGATTCTCTGGGAATAAACCGCGTCGTTTTGTCTCTCTGATTGGCCTGCAATCGGAGATAGGGGAACAGTACGGAGTCAGCAAGCGTATGTTTGGGAGTCTGTCAGGCGACTATATAACCTCTTACCCAGAAAGATGCCTTACGCCCGTCAGTGCACTAACCATTACTTTGCACCTCCTGTTTACGGTTGCCACAAAATACTCGGTGTTCTGGATATTGGATAGGGAGGCACATGGGTGTGGGAAAATAGGTATGGCAAAAGGGAAAAAACTACAGAGCATGCACACTGATAAACTTCAGCCCCAAAGCGCATCCCCAACAGTCACTTTCCAAAAACTCCGCGGTGATTACAACAAGGTTGAAGTCAAAAAAGCCTTTCTCCAATTGTTGCTGGGTTGGTCCAGTTGCCGATCTGCGATTCTCGACTTTGACCTTTCGTGACGGACCGCTCCGGCGGCCCAGTAGTGGGCTCCGCGTGTTCACGCAGAGTCGACCACAGCCAGACATGACGGCTACCACTGGCTGGAGATTTCAAATTTTTCTCCCTCGGAACCGGGACGACGCTAACCACATTCCAACATGATGGCGATCAAACCTCCCTCTTCTTGTTGTGGGCTCGGATACTATTTGCGCCTCCACCAGCTAGCGGATGAAACTTTGGGAGTAAGAGCCGGTACAGATGCTTATGAAGGCGGGTGTCGAAATGTCAGGGTCCGCATGCTGTATACAGACATCTGGTATCGGACCTGTATTATGAGATGTATAAGACATGTGTTCTATACAGATCGTATGCCAGGGTAACAGTAATGTGTAAAACACAAGACACGGTAATATCGTGATGAATCAACCAACATTACAGACTACAGAGGGCGTGATGGTTTCCTGTTCACATTTACGAAGACTGTATTTCGGCTACGCCAGTGTGGGGATTACGTGTGTAAATTTTTATTTTTATTTTTATTTTATTTATTATCATTATTATTATTATTATTATTATTATTTTTTCAAATTGGGGCCTTAGGAGAGGAATGGATTTATGCACTGACCAAATTTGGTAGTGATTCCCCGGTAAGATAGTGCATGGATGAAGTTATTCTAATAGGATGGAGAGGAGGGGCGATGGTTTGGATGGGATTGTGATTATGCGCAATTGCAGTAAATATACTATGACCTGCTCGTGGCGGGTAGAATAGATGTTAATGGTATCCTAGAATGGATGACAAGGTGAAGTTACTTGAGCAAAGGAAATTCATAGGGGAGTCGAAATGGAGAGGCGGACAAGCGGTTTCACTACCATAAGATAGACACATTTATCGAAATGGTTTGATACCTTAGGCACCTTTGTGTCCAAAGCCCAGTCAGCGTTGTGCTTTTCTATTGATGTGGCATATTTCGCCATTATTCTATCTCATCTGCGTTTTTTGGCTTTTAATTTTGAAACAAGAATTTGCAATCTAGTGCCAAGGTTGATGCGAACTGCCTGACCACACGAATGCGAAATATTTTCGACGTGGTTTTATTTTTGGTTATTCCTTATCCGTTGCACGAGATTTGCAAAGCCTCAAAACCCGTAAAGGAGTTGGAAGAGCAAAATTATCTAATATTCGGCTTCATCATCGCCAGCAATAATGACGTTGTTGACCTATTATATCAAAGAAAGTTAGGGCATGAAAAGATCCTTAGGTGGTGGGTGGCCAATGTGGGTTGTAAATTAGCGGTGTCTTTACCTTCAGAACCAGACTACATAATTGAGTTGCGAGAAGGAGTTGCTGGCGTTTGCTGATTAACGGGTCAATCACGAAATGTTGCTTCATATCTGTAGGGAGTGTGGTATATTGGTTAGTTTCGATCCGATGTTCAATAGAGTGTGATCACTCTGGAGAGGGCGGTGGACGGGAATCGCAAACCATTGCTTCCAGTGTTCATGCAATCGACGCCGAGACAGGGGTTATTTTCCTTTAGCTGGCGGGACTTAACGGCGGCAAGGGTTTCAATAGGGCTGAGGCCGGAATTTTCCGCTAGGGCCATGGGAATGCTATCGAGAGCATCTGCGAATGCGCGCATGGCATATTGCGCGAGTCCAGGATTCTACAAATCGCAAAAAGGAAAAATTAATGTTAGACAATACGACTATTGGAATTTATCATGGCTACAAATAGGGTAGAAATACTTACTTTAACAGAAGCATCCTCTACGGCAAGCGAACAGGCAATTTCGGCAGCACCACCGCCGTACACAACACGGTTGTCCCGTACAAGATTTCTTACAACGCAAAGGGCATCGTGCAAGGATCGCTTGGCCTCATCAACGATCTAAGGTAGATGAGAAAGTAAGTTTATAAAAAGGGCCTGTCGAAATGAAGGGAGGGAGGCTTGATTGCATACCATTTTATTACTGCCACGGAGGAAGACGGTCACAGCGCGAGTGTTCGCGCAATCCTCAATTATCAACATTTTTTCCCTAGTCGTACCGAAACTCATCTCACGTACGATACCCGCAGTGCCTAGTTTCTCTGGGCTCAAATCCTCAAATCGCGGCACAATCCTTCCGTTGGTAGCAATAGCGATTAACTCGATCTCGGGCCCTCCTACCCATCGGACGGCGGGCAAGTTGTTTTGGAGGAGAAGATGATTCGCTTCGTCATCGAAGCCCCACTGGCAGATGACGAGATTTGCACCGGTGTCTTTGAGTTGTTGGATCATCTCTGTGAATTTATCCGTCTCATATGCCTGCAACTTTTTAAATTCCTCAACAGTCGTTATGTCAAGCTTATGTTTCGTTTTGGGCTTTGGGGGTTCAAATGCGCAGGTCAGAATCGCGATCTTGGCGTCCTGAACTTCGTCAGGCATTTGGGGATGAGAGAAGTCTTTATCGATAATGACACCCTTCACAAGGAGGGAGTCCTCGAGGGCTCCGCCAACTTTACCATCAACTTTAATGAGCTCGAAGTCAACATCTTTTCGCTCTAGATCTGCGACGGAGAGAACTGCATCTACAGCCATATTGGCGAAATGGTCATGGGCTTTCGAAACACTGTGCCTAGTCAGAATGGGAAATCTATTTGAGAATGAACACCGAGCGGAACGCACATTTTGCTTCCGAGGCTTGTTTTCGCGACTTTGATCAGATTTTCTCGATCGTCTAAGGAGAATTTAATCTCATCACAGATTCGGTCCAGTTCCTCAACCGCAATCTCGCAGGCCTGGTCATAGCCATCCGCTATTCTAATGGGATGGATCCCCTTGTCAATTAAATCGGCAGCCTGTTCCAGAAGGGCTCCGGCTAGGACGACAACTCCAGTGGTTCCATCTCCAATTTCGTCATCTTGCGATTTCGAAAGCTCAACAAGAAGCTTGGCAACATTATTCGATATTTCCATCTAGCATCAAGAGTCAACAATGCAGTCCGCATATATTGAGATATCGGATAAGAACGGACCTGAGAGAGAATGGTGGCCCCATCATTTGTGACAGTGATATCTCCATCCGGAGAAATTAGAATTTTATCCAATCCGCGTGGGCCCTATGAAGACGTTTTAGAAGAATATATCGATAATAACCGACTGGAGAAAGTGTAGCACACCAGTGACGTTTTCACTATGCTGGACACTGTCTTTGCCGCAACAATGTGTGATTTGACCGCATCAGTTCCACTCTGTCGCTTCTTCTTTCCTTGACTGTAATCCCACACGTCAAAAGCTTGTCCATATATAGGCCTCCAAGGACAGTTGTAACATACTCTCGAACCACGATAAAAGGGCGCCCTTGCTCATCCTTGACAACGGAGGCTATTCCCAAGCACAGTATATGTTAGAATTCAAAGATTTCAGCAAACAGCAGCGGAAAGAGATAAGTGATCTACCTTGGGACATATCAAGTTCTGGACCCGAGAACAAGTCAGTATTGCTATCTCAAAAGATATCGATCCAAGGAGGGGCATTGACGTACGCATTGCCATATTACAGGTGGACCGCTAGGCGGTAAAATCCTTTCGATTTAAATGCTCCGGGAGTTGAATAAGAGCGAAATGATAAAGAGATAACAAAGAAGCTACGGCGAGCCGAGAATTGGACGTAGTGGAGTCCGAATGCCAGATTGTTGTGCCCTATCGCTTGAAATAAATCACTTGCGCGCGGCAATGAAATTCTGGGTTACGTAAACGAACCTAGGGTTCTGTGGGATGGTTGATCTTCTCAGTGTGCGATCGCTAGCTAACTATATAGGGGTAATCACGTGCGGTGGAGGGCCGCCTGGGCAACTAGTGCCCAACACCCCCCCACGCGCCAACGTGCGTGATGTGTTCCTACGAATCTTCCATGCTAGCTATCTCAACTTGGATCACCCCAAAATCATGCTACATACAGAAATTTAATCATTCTCACTGTTACCAGTGAAAAGTCCTAGTAAATCAATGAAATGCCTAAATGCCACTGTGCTCAGAGGTTTGGTTAATCCGTCTGCTACCATATCCTCAGTGGGAACGTGTTTAATAGAAATAACGCCTTCGTTCAATTGCGTGCGAGAATAGTGGAAGCGAGTGTCGATATGCTTGCTGCGTGCCGTGATCGCGGCAACGGTAGCTAGGTCGATTGAACCTTTGTTATCTGCCCTGATAGGCAAGGGGTCCTTTGCTGTAACGAATCCTAGTTCCATCATCATATTGCGCAACCACGTTGCTTCGCGTACTGCTTCGCTAAGTGCCACGTATTCTGCCTCATTTGAACTTAAAGAAACACAAGGTTGTTTGGACGAACGCCATGAAATTGGTGCACCTGCTAACTTGAATATGAAGCCTGAAGTAGATTTGCGTTCGCCGTTCAACGGTCCGAATCTGTATAACCTATCGGCAGATATGACGCGTTGGGGAATTCATCGATCTCGTTCTTGGGGCCTTCGTATAAGATGCCAAGGTCGCTCGTTCCTTTTAGATATTGTATGACGCGGAGGAGAGCCCTCCACGCCTTAGGTGTAGGCGCAGTATTCTTCTGCGCTAGTAGGGATGCTGCTCGCGCAATATCTGGGCGTAATTTGACTGCCAGATACTGCAAGCACCCTACTCCGTGTTGGTATCGCTTTTTGGTGAACCCTCCTTCTCGTTCTGACACAGGGGTATCGTCTATCTTCAACCCTTCAAGTATTGGCGTAGGGACAGGGACGGCGTCATCTAGGCGGAAATCTTGCACTAAACGATCGATATAGCGTCTCAATGTCAATTTTATAGCACCATCAGGGCGACGTTCAACCTCCATGCCTAAGTATTTTGAAGGTTCTTTTAAATCCTTTATTTCTAATTTATTGGCGAGGGTGTCAACTAGCCAATCGGCATCTGCCGGATCCTCTGCTATAATATGAAGGTCGTCCACGTAGATTGTCATATAAAGGTGACTGCGGGACGTGTGGCGCCATAGAGCAGGGTCGTAGGGGCTAGGTTTGAAGCCATTCTCGCGGAGTAATGCTGTAAGGAAATCGTACCAAATCTTAGCAGCAGGGTCTAATCCGTATAGGGAGCCTCCGACAGCGCAAACCATCGCGTGTGGAGTCCCCACCTCAAATCCGGTAGGTTGCCGCATATAAATCGTTTTACCAAGTCGGCCGTGTAGGTAGGCCATCACTATATCGACCTGGCGCAAGGTCCAACCTCGCTTCGCTGCTATCGCGAACATCATGCGATTAGTAGCGTCATTAACGACGGGCGCGTATGTTTCTTCGCGTGCGCTTTTCTTTAACCAATTACCGCACACTACCCATCGAGATTTTCGTAATATACCATCAGGATCCGCGTTGGGATCCTGGGGGCGATCTTTTTCGACATAAACCCAGCGGCCGGGGGCCACTGGCTCACCAGAAGGGACGTCAGAACGTGGGATCATTGTCCAAGTGTTCCTTCGTTCCAAATCTGCAATCTCGCGTTCCATCGATTTCTGCCAATATTCGCCAACCCCCCCAGGTCTACTAACGGCATCCTTATATCCTTTCGGAACGGAACCGGTGAGGGGAGAAGGAACGTAGGTGGCGAACGCTTTCGCTGGTCTTACCCATTCGGCGTCAGCTAATTCAGGAACGGTAGTATCATCAACGAGATAAGTCGCTGAACTTGCAGGTTCGGGTGTCGTGTGGTTAGCGTCAACCTGCGAGGTTGTAGGTTCCTTTGCAGGGAAAACGACATCACTGGTGACAATTATTTTATCAGTTGTAGGACTCCAGAGGCGGTAGATTGAGTTACCACGGAATCCTATAAGTTTAAAAATTTCTGCCCTAGCGGACAGCTTGTCAGTAGGTTTTTGAGATCCATGAAGGTGCGCGTAAACATCAACACCTAGCTCCCTAAAATGGCGAAGTTGGGGCGGGGCGTTGGTTAGTGCTGAGAATGGGACCGTATAGGGGCATCGCGCAGGTGCTTCGTCGGCGTTGTTGGTAGGCCAGTATTTCTCATTATACAGGGTGGTAGATGTTGGTGTGTTGTTGGTAATTGCAACCACCGTTTCGAGAACGTCTGCCCAGAACTTCTTCGGTATATTCATGCCTAAAAGCACTGCCCTTGCGCGCGTCATTATCGTACGGATTCCTCTCTCAGAAACACCATCTTGGTGGGGAGATTGGGGCGTAGTAGGTTCCCAGATAGTGCCATCTTTGGTCATCATTGTTGTCATCTTGTTAGATCGAAAGACACCATCGATATCAGTCCTAACTAGCGCCGGTGGCGTGAAGCCGAGATTTTTCATGAATTGGACCCAGTGAGCGTAAATTTCGACAGCTTGGTCCTTGGTATGTAAAAAATAGATCCACCTGTAGCGGGTGGCGTCATCGGTGATGAGCATATAATATTTGGTCCCTTGACGAGATTCGATAGGGTAATCGGACATATCATCCAGCGTACGACCACCGCCAGCAAGGTCGATATGAACACGTTGCATTGCTCGCAACGCTCGTGGCATGGGAGTTTGCGAGAACTTGCGTGTCATGCCTGCTTTGACGCAGCTATCGCAGAAGAAGCCTGTTTTAGATCCTTTGATGCGGATGCCGGATGATGGGTCCTTCGCTAGTGCAATGATCGCGCCAGTGTGGATATGCCCTAGTGTGACGTGCCATTCCATGAGTGTTCTTGTCAGGGGGTTGCGATCGCTAGGTTGATCGTTAGGTTTCCCCGCGATTGTCGACATTGCGTCCCCGTAATTGTAAGATTTGGCCATAAAATGGACGGCCTGGGACGGGTGATGGACGTCTATTTGGGATTCTCGTTCTATTATCTTGTAGACCGATTCTTTGGACGTGCGAACGGCGGTGAAGTTGGCACCATTCGGGGCCCTTATTGTAAAATAGGAAGGGGTGGTATCTGATAGTTGGTATCTGAAGCCTTGATCTTCTAGCTTCGCGAAGGATAGAAGGTTGACAGTTAGATTGGGGATCCAGTGGACGTAACCCACTGAGATATCCCCCCCTTCTGATTCTAGAAGTATATCACCTATCTCCTCAACCCGTCCTACACCACCGTCCGCGGTGGTAATTTCTAAATCACCTTCGAACGACTTTGCGCGCACCAACGAGTGCCTTTCACCCGTCATATTGAAGCTTGCGCAGGTGTCGAGATACTAAGGTTTGGATGTTGTAGCGGACGACGTAGATAAAGCAATTGCTGCGTTGGCATTAGGTTGCGATGCAAGGAGATCTGGCGCTCTGGTGCCAGTAGGTTTGTCGTCATCCTTGTCCTTCTTCTTATCCTTTCCCTTCTTTTTGGCACCTTCAGTGTTGTCAGTGCCCTTATTATCCTTATTCTCTTTCCTCCACCACTCGGGTGCTTTGTCAGGGTTCAGATGATAGCAATTAGCCTTTATATGCCCTGGGACCTTGCAGTATCCGCACTTTGCGGTTGCGGCGGAAGTTGTGTTGTCATTATCATTGGTGGCCGCGTTGGCCTTTGGAGCTTTAGGGCGTCCAGTACCCTCTGATTTACTCATCCGGTGAGCAATTTGTTTTGTGAGATCGTTGATATCTAGGTTGACAATCGGACCCTGACCCGTCCCGTAGAACGTATCGAGGCGTGATTTAACATAGGTCCTCTGATAATCTCGGAGGCCGATAACAAAGAAATCATGGAGGTAGTTCTCACCACGGTCCTCCGTTAGTTGTCGCATGCGAGCAGACAGGTATTGATATCGGCGTACGTACGCCAGGTAATCACCGTCCTTGACATGCAAGTGGGTAAATTCTTTAAGGATGTTAATCCTTTCTTCCCCTAGGGATATCGCGTATACTGCGCTTACCTTGTTCCATAGGGCCGCCGCGTTGTCGGGTTGAATGGATCCCATGGTCAAACGGACAGAACCTACTAGGGATTGCAACATGCGACGGAAGAGAAGTTTTGAACGTATCACCCAATATCGCTGATCGAGCGATGATAAACCTTCAGGTGGTTCCTGTTGGTTCTTATTAAGAATATCTGCACCACCGATCACTTCTGCATCCGACAAGAACGCCATCTTCCACGTCTGGTAGTTGGTGCCATCGAACGTGGTGACGGACTTTGTGTTCAACGAGGCCTGCGCTTCCTTCTGGTATTCGCGAGCCAGCATGTTCGGATCTTCTTCTGGTATAGGGTTCGGAGGAGGTGGAGGTGGTGGAGGAGGTGGAGGAGGTGGCGGCGCGCGTGCTGATATCAGTCGCTCGCAGAGTGCAATGAGATCTGCTGCTGCCATGGTCACCATGCCGTTAGGATTCGGCGTAGGTATCGGCATAGGACTGGGCGTGCCATCCTCAGATTCCTCGCGTTCTGGCATCTTGCCAGTATCGCGTGCTGAGCCAGAGGTTGTCATATCTTCCTCTGCCATCGCGTATTCAGTTTGATCACCCTCCGCTTCTGAGCCGGATTCTTGCTCAGTAATAGGGGGGAAGGATTGGGGGACCCTTGATTGCGAACGTAGTGTCTTCTTACGTCCTGATATTGGGGTCGCAGGTAATCGAGAACCACTCATAATCAATCTGACTTAGGGAGGTTCTGAATGAAAATAAATAAATAAGTTTTTGATCCCTTCAAGATAGTAATGAAATCTCTGCAGCAGTCTCGACAGCAATTCCGTCAATTACACCACTTTTATAGGCAAAGAGCTCTCTTTTCAGGGGAATAATGTTTAACTCATCCAATATAACATCAGTCGCAGCGTATTCTAATCAAAACGTCTGTTTTTCTTAAAAATCTGCAATCCGGGCCATAACCTGTGGGATGGTTGATCTTCTCATTGTGCGATCGCTAGCTAACTATATATAGGGGTACTCACGTGCGGTGGAGGGCCGCCTGGGCAACTAGTGCCCAACAGGTTCACATTACAAGCAACACTGGAAATATTGGGGTCACGTGATAGGATAGCCGCAACCTTGAAGGTTTTCCATATCCCGGTTGGTGTACACCTTGCAACACGACTTATCGCGACATGCTATGGCAACTCAACAAACTGGCCATTTACACAGCATTTGTTACGGGGCAATTCTGCTACTGCTACTGGGATTGTTCGCCGGACTTGATATATTAACTTTTTACGTTCCGCGACCGTCAAGCACATTGGGGTTTCTTTTGTCCTACTCCAGCCACCGGCGCACAAACATGCCTCGTGAGTCCCTGATATGCGCCGTGACGAGTTGAACCTTTTGTAGCTGATATTAGTTGTCGCATATCCCTCTAGCTGCTCTCCAATTGAGTGAAGACGAATCTGCAGGGGAATCGATTCCCTTCAATGATGCCGAAGAACAACAACTGGTCTCCAAGAAACGTGACATGCCCTCCGATGTTGATGAAGACGACAGCGACAGCGGAGAAGAGGGCGATGATGTGTGAGCAAGATCAATGCGAAAGCTAAATTATGGATTCTAATGATTTCCGTCCTGTCTAGATACGTGGTTGAGAAGATTATGGGTCATGAGTTTGCGAAAGATGTGGGTAGCAACATCCGTTCTTAATTTGTGGTCGAGTCCGCTAAGAAATATTCAGGGCACTCTCCTCTTTCAGGTCAAATGGAAAGGCTACGAAGATCCCCAAGATCAGACTCTGGAACCAGAGGAAAATCTAGTGTATTTCTACCTTGCTCCAGATTCCACGGCGTAACCCTAACATTGTGTCTAGAGAAGGGGCAGCGGATGTCGTTAAAGAATATTTTTCCATCATAGGCGGACGACCTGAGAAACCATCAAAAAAACGGAAATCCATTACGGGGTCTACACCAACGCCCGACACATCGACCGTCAAAAGGTCAAAAAAATCTCGCGACTCGGAAGCGAATGGGACACCGGAAATAGAAAATAATGTTGCAGATTGGGTGCCGAAAACGAAGAACTGGGATTCACAGGTCAAGTCCGTCGATACAATAATGCGCGATCCACCTACGGGTAACTTATTCGTGTACCTCAATTGGAATAACGACAAAAAAGCGAAAGTTTCCATTCAACAATGCTATGAGAAGTGTCCCCAAAAGGTATGCAATACCGTTGTTTAATGCTAGCGTGCTATCATTGGTTTGTCAACTGATGCGATATCTAGATGCTGCAATTTTACGAACAACACTTGTATGTTTTACTAAATGCCCTGCTCATAAACCTTTGAGTTCCATGCTAAAATCTATGTAGAGTTTTCAAGGACGCTTAGTCCAATGCTATTCTATTAGCCTTGACTTCTCTCTACTTTGTATTGCCAAGTAGGTAACCGACAACTGACCTTGATGACCTGTTAACCCGGGGAGTTGCCCTTCCCAGACACGGACTCATTTTCCATGCTTGCCAAACATATATGCCATTGATATTTTTATGGCCACAACGAATTCGAATGGCATCTTCCCTTTCTGCATCACGTTGGTTCAATTATTCAAGGATCATGGGGAAAAAAATTTCTCTTCTCCACACTATGTTTTACTTTAGTTTTTGGCCGTGGTTATCACGTGTAAATCATTTGCTATTGGTTGAAGATGTTTCTAGAGCGCAATGAGGTGGATTATCTATAATATTTCTCACTTTGTCACTATGCCTTTCAACATTTTACTTTTCTTATGTATTTTTCTCCTCGTTAGCCTTCCTTGATTTATGTTTGCTTCTAGATATGATATTCTGATTTCATTTTGATCTACAATCCTTGGGTTCAGTATTCAATGTTCTTTACCCATAAACATTAACCCCCGAACATGGGGCTAGGCACTTTAATTTCATTCCGCGATGGTTTTTAAACCAAGAAAATGAAAGCTAATGAGAGTTTATCAGCATCATTGACCATGCTATTCGTCCAGGTTTGTAGTATCCTGGAATAGGAATGTGTAACATTCTGCATGTATAGAATAATATGTTTCTGCTCAAGGCGCATCGACTAGCATTGGATATTACGCAAAGCAGAAAGGAAGGATGAGAGGGAGTGATAAAAGGCTAACAT